GAGGAGAATTGTCCCTGAAGTTGATACATTCCAAATAGCATTTCCACTGGCTAAGCTGACCTCACATCAAGAACACATTTGCACACAGGGAGGTGCTGTGGGGTCCACAGCTTTGCCCAAACCCGACGGTAAGAGGCCGTGCCCGGCACTCAGAGCAGCACACTGGGCCTTCCCGATTGCTTCTGCTCTGGTTCACATGAGATTAGACTTCCGCTTTCCCCTGGCTGGGGACTCGGTGAGGAACTGCACAGGGTAGGCCGTCAGTAACAGCTGTGAACATGTGGCGCATTCCGTAACAGCTTCTGAATACGAGAGTAGAGTGCTTGTCAGGTAAGATCCCTGCTGTGTTAGAGATGAGGCAATTGCTGATTACACAAGACTTTAGAGGCTCTAAAGTCTTGGTGGAGAAAGTGAAATTTTAGGCTTTAATAAACGATGGGAGGGAATCACCATGGAAAATTTGGAGTCATCAAAAGGGAATCACAGCCCTAGGTTGTTTGGCCCGGTGGCTAGAGCATTAGCCTGTGGACTGAAGGGTCCTGGGTTCGATTCCAGTCAAGGGCACATGCCCGGTTCTGAGCTTGATCCCCCAGTAGCGGGTGTGCAGGAGGCAGCTAATCAATGATTCTCTCTCATCATTGATGTTTCTCTCTCGCTCCCTTCCCTCTCTGAAATTAAAAAAAAAAAAAAAAAGAGAACATAAACAATAGATGTGCACTACAGACTCGTGAGCAACTAATGGCAGAAATGCATTAAGTCCCAAACATTTGGTGATGGGCAGACACGGCGGGGCTCTTGGGCCAACAGAGAAGGTGTTGTGTGTTCACCATTCTTTTCACGGCAAGCACGGTGTTAGTGATGATGCCTCGGCAGAAATTCTAGCCCCGTGGGGGAGGAACACGAGTCAGAGTCTGAGAAATGTATAATTCCGAACCGCAGTTTTAGGGCTCGGCTGATCGGAGCATCTGTGTGAGGAAACAATTGGAAGTCCGGGAAAGAACCACCGGGAAGGAACAGACAGAACAATCCCGGCAACAGAATTCCAGTCACTCTTAGTCATCCCTGAGTGCTCTGCCCCTGGCCCTTCCCGCACTTTGGCTAGATGTACCATTCAGCCGTCCTCTTTGCCTCAGTTAGTGCGACCACTGTGCTGAACGCGGAGCATTAGAGGGGATAAAGCACAGACTGCTTCACTTTGTCTCCCTCGGTCCCCTTAAACTGTTTCCAGCGTAGGAAGTCCAGAGGATTTTTGTTACCTTTGAGGTAATAAGAATCCCATGGTCACATGGCGTCACCAAGCCCAAAATTAGAATGTCCAGGCGATTGTAATCGCCATAGCTCTCGATTTATTCAATTCTGATAACTTCCCCTCCTCGCATTAGGGCTTGGTTACCAGTGGTGCCCGACCCAGGAAAGGGGTGTACCTGTTTCTCCTTCCACTCCTCCCCCGTTGCTGGCTCCTGTTCCTGGCCTCTGGAACTGGTGGGGAAGGGAAAGAGGGCAGAGAAGACACAAGCTAGTGCTGGCACCCTCTGACCTGCTTTCCTTGGGGTGTTCTTGTAGGCGTTTCGGACCCCCCCACTCCCTCCAAGCTGGGACCTCCCCTCTGCAGTTCCCAATGGGGGTAACGCGCGCACCGAAGCCTTGTCCCTCACTTCCTCTGCAGCTCCTGGGACTCCCTGTGTCTTCCCCCGTTCCTGTCGCTGAAGACCTGTCTACCCACCGGGCAGACCTTTTGAAAAGGACCTCAAACAACCCCACTAGCTCGTTCGTGCGTCCTTTTCTGCAGCAAATTCTGGAGCAAATTCTGGCGGTGCCGGCCAGTTCCAGTGCAGCCCCCTCCTCCGCAGTCAGTCTCGTGGCCTTTACACTTGGCAGGTAGGAGCCAGGCAGCTGGCGGTCCACTGTGTCCCCTTTCTTCAGTGGTTGTGTTCAGCTTCCCTCCCCGGGCCTGGCTGAATCACATCTACTATCCATTCTGCCCCTTAGGAGAGGTGGCGTTCATAATACTGCTCTCTCCAAAGAAATTCTTCATATCCTTTCTCCCTTTATCTCACAGCCAGTTACTTTTACACCTGATGTGGGGAGGGCCTTTGGCATTGAATAGCAAGTATTCAGGCATTTCCTTTGAAAATTTGCATCTTAGTCTAGCACCTTACTGTAGTGTCTGAAACTTACCCATTCTAGAGGCTTGGCTGAAACTTTCTTTTTGGCATTTGGGTAAACTAATTTGATTTGGCTTTGTGAACATTGTGACCAAATAATCCTGATAACAGTCAGCAAATATTTACTGACCAGGTGCCGCGTGCAGCCACAAAGGAGAAGTGCTTCTAGCCTGGGACAGACCTTGTCAGTTGTTAGCCTGCTGGCTATGTTCTGCCCATGGGCATATTCCCAGCCTCATAATCTTTAAATTACCCTTGCATCTGTTGCCAGTATTTACAAACAGAGAGATTTTTATCTTGAAAGATCCAGATTCTTGGCTTTGAAAAAAACAGGAGATGTGGCATTGCTGGGCCCGCATCGCTGCCTGGCACAGTTCGCTGACAGCTGGAACTGGTCGAAGCTGCCACTTAGACAAGGCGTGTGGTCTCCAGATGGACACCCTTCCCTCTTGGCTGAAGCCAGTGTCAGTTCCCACTTACCATCATTGAGCCACATATACACCTTTTCTTAATTAAAGAGAAAATGAAATGTTTCTGGTCATCGTGTCTCTTAAGAGAGCCATGGAGGGGACATAATTTCTTTAGAAATGCATATTAAACATTTAAGAACACTTTGCAATTAATATGTGTGTGTGTGTGTGTGTGTGTGTGTGTGTGTGTGTGTGTAAAACACAACTTAAGATGTCACGGAAAAGTAAACCACCGATAAGATTACCGTACTGAAAGTATGTGGTTTAAAATAAGACATTTCAACAATTTTATTTTTAATGCAACCAAAATAAAAAAATGAGCTGCTATAGGATGGTATTACATTCTCCAACTTTCCTCGTTTATCTCATGTTCTTCCTTGGCCCCTGGCATTTGAGTTTGCAACAGGGACAAACATTCTCTGGGCTCTCCGGAAGGAATCAGCCGAAGTGGGGATTCATCCTCCATCCAGCGGGCCCACGGGGGTCAATGCTCCCGTCTGAGGAGCGATGGCAGGACAGTTGCCACAAGGTTATGATTTCTTAGGGGGAAAGCGACAGGTGTTTGGCAAGTTAATGAAATTCTCTTTTCCATGGAATGATTCAACAGGATTGTTGAGACTATTCAACTTTGAAAACTAACTTTTTGTAAATTTTGTTTTTGGTTTGGTTTTTCAATTGAAACCTTTTTTTTTTCTTTTTTTTTTTTTTCTTCTGTTTTTCTTATTTGAGTTCTGGTTCTTATTGAGCTAAGCCTCTAATCCATTTATCTGATTTAGAGCAAAACCAGGATTATTTTGAGGAAAGGATTTCATTTGCCTAAGCCTGTGCTCTGGGGAGGCAGGCCTTCTGTTGAGTTATGTGTCCGAGTCAGTGTCTTCAGTTGTAAGAAGAGGGATTATTCTCTCACCACAGCTTAGCTGCTTATGAAAGCACACAAGGGTGTCCTTAATCAGGGTTGCAGAATGACACGTCCAGGGACTTGCCTGTACGTGTGACTTTCCTGACTTGGTCATTCATTGTTTGCTGACGTCTGAGTTCCTTGAAGGCCTTGCTGCCTAGTCTTTTCCATGTAGTTGTTTGGTCTTGAGTGTTCTGTTTTATGTTCATATGAAGCTAGGTCAGCTGAGAACTGTATTCATTGAACCCTTATTTTGATGAAGCCATTCTACACACACACACACACACACCGCAATCATTGAACAAAGTTATAAGAAACAATTCTGTGGCACTTCCTGTATTTTCCGTCTTCAAATATTTTTGGGGACACAGGGGGATTCCTTCAAGTCTTAGTAACTGATTCTCCGGGTTTATTTGTGGACACTGTAAAGCATTTATATAAATTCTTTGCATTTAGTGTTAGCTGTGAGAAATCTGGGGGAACAGATCTTTAATCCTTCTCTGGCAAGCACAGAAGGCCTTAGGACATCCACTATGTGTATTTTTGTCCTGGCTGCATTTTATTATTTTTTCCTAAGCCTGTTTACTTTTTGGCTCCCTTATTTCTTCTTTTTAAAACCTTGTACTTCATACAGTTTGTTTGTTTCTAAAGCTACTTCAACTTCATTTTAGAATGAGGCAAGATATAAAGAATTAAATAAAATATTGACAATTTTTCATTTCTTTAATTTGTTTTTGGATTTTATTTTAGATTTCCTATTTCTTATGTGATCAGATATATCAATTCTTTTTTTATTGATTTTTAAATTTATTTTTAGAGAGAGAGGAAGGGAGAGGGAGAGAGAGAAATATCAATATGAGAGTGAAACACCAATCAGCAGCTTCCTGCACACCTCCTATCGGGGATTGAGGTCACAACCCAGACTGACTGGGAATCAAACCAGCAACCTTTCAGTGCATGGGACGATGCCCAGCCAACTGAGCCACACTAGCCAGGGCAGATCTGTCAATTCTTTGTGATTGTCACGAAGATAATCATTGGCATGGATTTGAGACCCCTTGGCTGCCACATCTTCTCCCCATATGTTAACGTGGCTGATTGGGCAAAAATGGTGCTTAGAGCTTAGAGGAAGCAGAGGTTATTTCTGACCCTCTTCCTTTTCCAGGGGTCCGGTTTTGTGGTTTTCTTAGTTTAAGCTTCAAACCCTACATTTAAACAGGAAGGCAGGTATAAACCAGCAGTGCCCTGGTGCGCCTGGACGTCCTGGGGAACACCTGGCTTGAACGTGGTCCTTCACCAAACAGGTGGTCAGTGGGGATCTGTGACGTAAGTTTCGCTGTGGCTGTGTATGTGGATCTGTTCTCTGAAGCAGGCGTCTGTCCCCGAGTGTAGGTCCGGGGAGGCCGGCGGCCAGTGTCAGCAGCGGCTTGCCTTCGGTGACGCTTTCTGCTCTCTTTTCTTTTCCAGAGTACGATCGGCTGGGCTTCCTCCTGAAGCTGGACTCGAAACTGTGAGTAGAAGGAGAAAACGCCCATGGGTGTTGGGTTCCCAGGGGGCCTCAGTCCTCAGTCTGCCAGCAGAGTTTTGGAGTAGAGTCTGCAGGGGCCTGGGAGGGTGGGAGTGTGGGTGTGCAGGAGGCCTTAGATCTGGCTGGTGCAGGCAGCCTCGGAGAGGAGTTTGAGGGACAAAGAGGCCCCCAGAAAGGCTTCCGGCAGGAGTCAGTGGCCTCTCAAAGATGCCCTGCAGCCTGGTCTGCAAAGCCTGCCTTGATCAGGCCCCTGTCTTCCTCCTATTGTTCTCCCACAGGTATTACCCCCTCCCCGTTTCCCCCCCCCCCTCCGTTTTCCAACACCGCTGCATATGCTCATTACCTGGGCCTGAAACTTTCCTTCCTTGCTTGTCCACTAGGAAAACCCAGTCTCCCTCCTTTTTATACAAAATTATCTCTTTCTCCATGCTTCCTGTGAATTTCCTACCTCTGTCACCGATTATCTCATTATACTTCATTAACTGTGTAATGATTATTATTTTATTAAGCGCACAGGCTCAGAGCCAGGCAAAGCTTCATTCAAATCCCAGACTGCCACTTACTCTCCCTGTGATTTGGGACAGGCTGCTTAACCGCTCTGAGTCTGGTTTCTTCTGTCATACGAGGATTTAATTGAAGTGAACTGATTCATAGTGGCTTTCACGTAAATGGTATCTCATCCTTCCAGATCCTTCCCTGCTCTTGCCTTCTTGGTCTCCCTAGCGCCTGGCCAGCGCTGGCGCATGTTTGTTACGTGCTCAGTGAGCACCGTGCACTTGGCTGCGAGGATGGATGACAGGTGGATGACGAGATCAGGAAGCCTCGAAACCGGGCTCTGTCCGCTGCTCTGTGTGTCTGCGCCCTGCACAGGACCTCTCCTCTCTGATGTGCAATACATGGTTGCAAAACGGCCAGTGCCTTTTCTCTGTTGTTAGTCGTCTGAGTATACCTGTGGCCCCTGTCCTGTGTGAGACAAGACACGGAAGATCAGACTGTGTCTCCTTTTCCTCTCTCGCGCGAGGCCTTGACCACACCTGCTATGACACGTCGAGTCTGGGGCTCCTTGGCTTTCCCACTGAATTGTCTGGCACCTGGCCCTCTTTTCCTGGCATCTGGCTTCTTGGCTCTGGTGCCTCGTACTGTGAGCTCAGCAGTTGTAACGCTCCAGCTCTTATCCGTCATGCAGGCAGCCATGAGGGAAGAATGACCTGCTCTTTATGCCAAGCTAACAGAGAGATGTCAGCTATACCCTGGGGGATGGGGCTTGATTATGCTAGAAGCCAGCCTTCCCTTTTTTATTTTATTATTTTAATTTTTGGTTAATCCTCATCCAAGGATATTTTTCCATTTTTTAGAGAAAGAGTGGAGGGAGGGGGAGATACAGAGAGAGAGAGAGAGAAACATCGATGTGAAAGAGACACATCGATTGGTTGCCTCCTGCACCATGGATGGAGCCTGCAATGGAGGTACGTGCCCTTGACTGGACTAGAACCCGTGGACAGCAGGGTTTGATGCTCCATCCATTGAGCCACTAGCTAGGTCAGTCTTCACGTTAAAAAAGTGCTCTGGGACTGAACATAAACTGCACCTATGGATGAGGACAATGGGGGATGGGGAGGGGGCAGAGGGTGGGGTGGGAACCTGGTGGAGGGGGGAAGAAATGAGGAACCTTTGTAATAATATGAACAATAAAGATTGATTAAAAAAAAAAAAAAGTGCTCTGGGCAAAAAAAAAAACCAAAACCAAAAAAACACAAATAAAGTATAAGGTAATAAGCCAGTGAAATGCCACCAGAATGGGAGATGTAGTAATTACTCCTGATGAACAAAAGACGTGCTATGTAGGATACATTAACTACAGTATTTAAACTGCCTTCAAGAGTGCAAGGAGGGGGTTGGGAGGACACTTGTTCTCTGCCGTCCTGACCGTTGGATTAGGGCAGCAGCAGGCTGTGTGTAGCTTTCTGTTGTGTATCGGGCTGATTCCATGAATCCTTTGGGTCATTTTGGTTTTGTTTGATTTAACTCACAATTGAATGTCCAAGATAGACTTCTCTTTCTTCCAACTAAGTCTTTCTCAGCCCAGTGCTGTCTGCGAAGAAAGCGCAGGTAGGTGGGAAAGGTTTTTACGTGCTCTCAGGGAGAAGTTTCCAAGTTAGGGGTTCTGTTTTTGAGGGATAGTCCTTTAGCAATATTCAGATGTACCCTTACAGATTCTTTCTCTGCTGTGTTGTGTTGTTTCTAAACTCGGATCAGAACTGAGCTGGACTTTTGCCCCTGCTGCTAATGTAAAGGCCCTTAGCAAATTCACTTTAGATGTCTGATCCCAGTTTTTCCTTACGGAGATTAAAAGACGATACCTAGTGCTAAGGCTTTATGAAGAATAAAAGAAAGGTCTCTATAAAGTATGAATAAGTGTGCAAATCTAAGAATTTGCTTTCATTTATTTTGATTGGGTTTATTTAGCTTCTTAGGTATAAGGATTCATATGTCCTGAAAATTTTTTCCGCCATTTCTCTTTAAATATTGCCTCTGCCTCACAACTTTTTTTTTTTAAAAAACACGGATAAAATGTTAGACCTTCTCATCCTCATCCTAGCCTCCAGGTCGGTTACGTTTCATATGTCCATCTTTGGTCTGTTCCACATTAAATTGGAATCCCAAAGGACTCAACTTAAGGATAAATTAGAAGTAAGGCTGCACCCCAAACCAGGACAGCAGGAAAGTTGCCGGAGCACCGGGAGGACCAGGGCAGCGAGGTAAAGGAACAGGAGCATGTGGCATTCGCAGCCAGAGTTCCATCACTCAGGTGATCCATGAACTCCAAGTTCAAGGTGTTGCAGACCGGCAGGGCCTCCAGATCCTGACAGAAGCAAACGCAAAACCTTCCTGGAAACTGACATGACTTTCTCACTGATAACTTTTCAAGGAAATGAGACGCTGACAGTAAAAAATAGCTAGCACACAAGGAAACCAGGCTCCATTAGTGAGAAGCATGAAAGATAACAGACAGCAGAGAGGGACTCCCAAAGACTTATGACATTGGAGTTACCAGACACAGTCTATAAAGCAATTATAGTTACTATAATTGTACTGTATGTATCATAGTTAAAAAATAAAAGACAAGATTAAACTATATACATGGAATATGGAACTATGAAAGTAAAATATTAGATTTGAAAGAACTTCTTACCAGAATTAACTCAATAGGGTTTATTATTATTTTTAACCCTATTTCTTTTTTCTTTCTTTCTTTCTTTTTTCTTTTTTTTTAGAGAGAGAAAGAAGAAGGGAGGAGAGAGAGAGACAGAGACGGAGACATTGATGTGACAAACATTTCTCAGTTGCCTCCAATATATATACCCTTACCGGGGACTGAACCCCAAACCTGGGTATATGCCCTATCTGCATGACAGAATCCCTTGTGAGCACCGTGAAAATGATCCAGGCTATGAGTTTGGGTGCAGTGAGCTGTACAAACCTTGCCTTTTAACTGCAAGCTCTGTTGTTCTGGGGGCAGTGGTTTTTGGAGGTTAGTAACATGGGCTGTGAAGTCAGGCATGAATTTTTAAAGCCCAATTCCCTATCTTACTAGCTGTAATCTTAAGTGAGTTGTTTAACTCCTAAGCCTCAGTTTCCCACTATAAAGTGGGAGTAATAGTAATCATGCAGTGTTTCCCAAACTCTAGACATATGTGTACCCCTTCTATAATTTTCGTAATGCTGAGTACCCCTTGTACTCATGAGAACGTAAAATGGGGCGCAGCTAAGCACGGTGCAGTGCATATCCCCACCAAACTCCGGTGCAACGTGTACCCCCACCAAACTCTTCCCATACCCCTGGGAAGTGTCCTGTACCCTTTTCAGTGTCTGGTAAACTGGGAAGGATATAGATCCACAATGAGACTTGAACCTCAGCTTGCCTCTGGTTCCATTCCCCAGATTTCATTTTCTCACTTACTCATTTAGTAAATATTTCTTGATCACCAGCCGTGAGCAATGAGCAGGTCTTTGTGTGGTTTTTAAATAGGCTGGCTTGGAAGCCTAAATGGAGTATGAAGAGTTCACAAGGGCTTCTCAGGTGCATGGGGCACAGTAGAAGGAGCGGTCTCCGTTGCCCAGGGCAGCAGAGAACCTGGTGTTTTCAGGGACACCAAGGTTACTATGAAAGCAGAAGGCAGGAGGAACGTTCACTGAAGAAGCTGAGGATGGAAAAGACCAAGGCTTCAGAGAACACAGTGGAAAGTCAGAGTATGGTTCAGGGGGAGAGAAGTGGGAGAGTGACCCACAAAGAAGAAGCAGAGAGCAGGGACCTAAGGATGAAGAAACTGACAAGGATATAAGTGAAGGAATGAGCAAGAATAACCAGGATGCGAGGCTGGTGAGGTGGGTATTGCTGGTCTTTAGGCGCCTCAGAATTAATCTTGTGTCCCCTTGGCGGTGGGCACCCAGGCTGCTCAGTGCACTCAGGGACAGCCCAGTTGGATGATGCCTCCAGGAGGTTCAGGCCTGGTCCCTGGGAGGCTCTGGGTTCTCTGAGAGAGTTCAAAGTTGAGGGTCCTGGGCTACGGGCTGCTGCCCTAACATTAAGGTGAGCACTTCCTTATTCATTCAACAAATTTCTTTTTTTTTTTTTAGTATATATTTTTATTGATTTCAGAGAGGAAAGGAGAGGAAGAGAGAGAGATAGAAATATCAGTGATGAGAAAATCATTTATTGGCTGCCTCCTGCACCCCCATCCCCCGCTAGGGATCAAGCCCGCAACCTGGTCATGTGCCCTTGACTGGAATCGAACCTGAGACCTTTCAGTCTTCAGGCTGACACTCTATCGACTGAGCCAAACCAGCTAGGGTTCAATAAATTTCTTGAGCAATTGCCATGCATTAGGCCATAGTCCATGTTCTGAGGATATACCAGGGAATAAGATGGTTCATAAACAAAGTATAATAAATAAGTAATGTTCTCACTGTGATGGAAGATG